GTCAGAAAGAAGCTTTCTTAAAAATAATGCAAGAACCATTAAATATCTTTTCATGTTATATCTACCAGAATTTAGTAGGAAGTCTTTTCATAATTACAACTGATTCAAATTCAAGGCAGTTCCTTCAATAAGTACCTTCTTACTGATTTCTATTTTACTAGGCTAGTCTTATTAATGAAATTCCAATTAATAATGTTTTATGAATAGTATCTATTCACTTTGCACCATTTGAGAACTCTTGCGTCCATCAATTGAACAGTACTGCACTACTTCAAAATTTGGATTACTCAAATTTGTGTGAATAGGCTGAAACTTGTTGAAGCATCACATAAAATCATCATGGCAACTACCTTTTCCAGTTCTTATTTCTGAACAGATATTTCTGAACTTCACACGCAGTACTTTGATTCTTCCTCCACAGTGTTGATTTGCACTGGATTTTTCAGAGCTCAAATACATACATAACCTTACACAAAAATATGTAGCAGTTACCAAAAGTGAGTGAGTTTGCTGCAAGGCCTGAACATAATCTTATAGTCAGAGGAAGCAGTGACAGAAGCTACTTAATATCCTTCATCAGGTTAGGAGATAGGAAGTAAGCTTTTTTTTTTAAAAAAACGTCAAGGAAGTTTTTATGTAAAAAGTTGTTTTTGTACTTAAAGCAATTATGCTTTTATATAAGAACTCACAAGTAGCTGACAAAATAAACAACATTTATTTCCTTATTATTATAGCTGACCTTTAAAAAGATGTTTTTAAATATACTGCCTATTTTCATTTAGCTATTACAGTTCAAAACTTTAGAAGAGTGCTACCATTCAGAATGTATGAAACAAAGAGCATTGGTTCTCAATCTTTTTCCAGATTACATTAGCATAGCTATCTTTATTTAATGCAGAAGCACACATTCTAAATTAATAATGGAGAGACACCTGGCAACCTACTCAGCAAGTAGGTTGCCGCTCTCAGTCACACCTTGGAGAAGGTTTTCTCTCTATTACAGAAGTAACATAACCTCCAAAGGCTAAAATCAGTATCTGAATATTTACAACCTTGAAACTTCATCATTCAAACTCTAACAACCCTATTTATACAGCAGTCATTGTTAAGTCCTTTGTTAAAAACCTATTAAACAAGTAAAGAACAAGACTAGGTGCAAACTTTTATTTATCTTAAAACATTTTAAATGTCTGAATTAATGCTGTTGTGTCTTCATTTCAAAAGCTTACTTAAATTTTGTCATGTAGATAAAATACTCATTCTACATACATACGCTGATTTTGCAATCTCCTACATGTTGGAACAACTTTTTTCTACATTAAGACAGGAGTTTTGGAATAAAAAGAGGGCAAGACTTTACATTCAGGATATAACGTTTTCAGTAGAGACAAGTAAAATGAATTCTAGAGCTATAAATCACTCTTCGGTAACATCTTTTTACACCACCACCCACATTTGTACACTGTAGACATCAAATTACGTATAGGTAAGTTGCCAAAAATGTCCATTAATATGCAACAGAAGAGCACTATCTCAATTAGTACCAGGAAGTGCTGTTGCAGCATATATTCCCAAGGACCCGCATGAGCTGTACAGCCCACCCTGTGATGTATACTGCTGCAGGTACAATGCTGTTGGCATTTAAACTTTACAGAGTAAAACCAGCTGACAGAAGTCTGCACATCCTATAACTCATTCTGCAATATCTAATAAAGTTCTACATAACTGTTGGGATCTACCTCAGCAGAGCTGTTACAAAACAAAATGCCTTTTTTGACACAAAAGTTATTGAAAGATCAAGGTCCGCCTGGCAAAAATATGCGTTCATTTATCTTTTAAAGATAACCTCCTGTGCCACATGACTACGTTCTCTCTTTGAAGATAAATAAATGCATTTTCAAATGAAAGAAAATAACACACTTTTTTGCATCTTGTTAAGAGATGCAAAGGTAGTATTCTGGAACACATAATAATGGAAGTTATTTAATTAATTGAAAAAATATTCCTGTTCTGATTTTTTATTTATTAAGTCCTAGTAATATAGCAGTATCTAAATTAAGCACTCAAGCAAGTGATCAAATTAAGGATAATATTAATTTCCCTCAGTTCTGAACCAACTTAAAATTGTGAGTTCAAAAGTTATAATATGTAACATTGAGCTCTCTTAATTCTGGTGTAAATAAGGATGAGTTCAAGTTAAAAAGGAAAAACATTACCTTAAAACATCTTCTAAAAAGCTGAGGTAAAATTTAACTATTTCTAAAACACTAAACTGCAAGTAAGCAAATCATTCTTTGCTACCAACTTATTCTCTCCATTGGTTTTATCTGACTCTAATATTATACTTTTAAGGGCTAATGCCATTCTAATATTTTGTCTAAAACCAGGTATATGAATACGTGTGCACACAGTGGCTAATTTCACAGCTGTGGTTGTGATGCATAGCTACACCTATATCAGATGGAGAATCAAGAATGACAGACATGACATAGGTTTCCATAAACATGCAGTCTACATTTAATACCTTAACCAGGCATAAACACCACCAATTGCTTGGGGACAGGATGCTCATTTGTTACCAAAGTCAGCAAATAACAAAAATATATGTTCATCAACAATTAGACTGATTGAGAGAGGAAAAACTTTTGGATCACAAGCATAATCACAGCCTGATTGAGCCTCTCTTGGGGCGTCCAGGGCCACCAAGACTAACTCATCTCTTTGCTACAAGGTTGGGGTATTGGCCATCTAATTACAGTGGACTTTGCCAGTTGGGATCTCAACAATCCCTTTTAGGAGCTGTGGTAGAAACAGCGCTCATCCAGAATCACACAGTATTTCTGATGGTTTGAAGAAAGCAAAGAGCTTGGATGGCCCTGGTCACGCTGCCATGAAGGAATATTTGACCTCAGCTCTTGTTCTGCAAAATACCACCCTTCCACAACCTCATAGGTATTTTCTACTATGACTTGGCAAAAAGGAGACAATGAAGAAATGTTAAGGACCCAAGCAGGATATGAAAGAAGGTTTACATGTCCATCTGCCTACCTCAGCCACACCAACACTTTCTCACCTGAATTTCTGACAGGAACAGAAAAAGCAGCATCTGATGTGAGACTGGCCTTCCCTGTTCATGTCTTCCCTAAATCAGCAACGTCCTCTGAGGACCATGGATATACATAGGATATCTATTCACTAGTGAGTTATAGAAATCATAAGTAAACAATTGAAATGAAAATTATAAAAATATTAACCTGTTTACACAATAAAAGCCTCACGTACCAAAAGTTAATTCTCAAATAACTCACATGGGTACAAAATCACATCCAGGTACTATATCCTGCAAGTCTTTACAACACAATTTAAAACTTTACATTACAACAAGCTAGCAGGCCAAAGCTGCATCTAACAAACCCGTGCCATGAAGTACTTAACAAATTAAAAGTTGTTACTGATATATAAAACACCCTTCAATATTTTTATATCAAAACTATTCCATAGATTATTTTTATATTGTTTAACTCCCTTTGTATTGTTCTTAAAGTGCTTTTTGAATTTTCTAGTCTGATTATTCAGGGTACTTCCCCAAAGATTAAGAAAAACCTCAGTACAGTGCAGAAATACAATGTGACTTCTTCCATAAGGGTGTACATAAGCTCCACCAATAACAAGTACAATTTTCAAAACATACAAAAAAACCCCACAGCATCTAAAATATTAGTTATCATGCCCAAACATACAGCAAAGTGAAAGCAATCAATGCAGGTGGCTCAGATGGTACCACAAACATTCAAGAAGTATAATAAGAATGAAACTATTCATTCTGTTTTCTGATCAGACAACATGCTCTTCTTCTGTTCAGTCTATTAATTACTAATCAGTTACATTCACTGTTTTAAACAATCACCAGAGCATGACTTGGATAGAGGGATGCACACACAAGCAGAATCAAATTTTACAAGCAGTCATTAAGTGACCTGAAATTGGAGTCCTTTTGCAATATTAGGTGTTGCAAACATGAATAAATTCATATTTGTAGCTAGACCATTTACATACAATCTTACATGCCAGACTAAGACAGACTATATATTTTTAAGTTTCTAACAAAAGTAGAGTACATGAGAGAGTTTGCTTTAAGAGCTGGTAATGAAAATTGTCATATAAATTACCACTACAGTGAAGAGGCAAGCAAAAAAATGGGACAATTAGAAGAGATATATGACAAAAAGGAAGCCAGATAATAGAGCTTCCAAAGACAGTTCTGTTATAATCTACATATTGTGCATTTCACTTGCAAAACTAAAACCTTAAGCTTAAACTATCCAAGCATGTACTAGGAGTATGTATTATATCATTGTGTCAGTTATGCACACTTTGACATTCCATTTCTATATTACATTAAGGCTGAAATGGAGTTTCTGTGCTGTTAGTCGTGAATATTTTCAACAGCGAAACACTGCCACCTTTTGGCTTGATACATAGACCTCCCCATTATAATTGGTTTGGGGTTTTTTTGCTACATTTGTCCTTTATGGAGACAGCTGAATTCTTGTGATCTCATTTAAAATTTTACTCAGTAGCCAAATTTCTCCAGGAAAAAAAAAAAAAAAAGAAGTTAGTATTAATTGTTAAAGAAACACTATTTTTGTCACAAATATGAGCGCACAGCCAAACAACTTAAAAAGTATACTCCATTAAGCCACATCATGTTTTATCTATTTTCTCTCTTTATCTCATAGTTCCTTTTTCATGGCAGTTTTCATACATGTATATAGTGTATCACATAATATCTTACACTGAATTTCTTTCAAGTAAAAACTTGGCAATACATTCTTCAAACATCTCAGTTTTGAAAACTGATTATAGGGATAAATTTTTAATAATGCATTATTGTTATGTTCCTTGTTCATATATACTTACAGTATTCTAGATCAAATATTAAATACTGATGGTTCAACATTTATATAAGCATGTATTGAAATATATGCGAAATTACTTACACCAATGATACAATGTCCCCACGCTGTACATCATAATTTCGAATGCTCCAGTGGTTTAAGAGCACTACATCAGATGCTTGTCTTCCCCCAGGATTCAAAGAAGGCTGAGAAAGGGGGGAAAAAACAGCTTTAGACCTACATTTCCACTATGAATCTTCCACCTAACTCTCATTCCATCAACAGGTACAATCCATGAAAACCAGTAAAAATGGACCCACCGAAGAATCTGTTGTACCCACCCAGAATCTTTTGTTAAATACCATGTTTAATGTCATTAATTTATGACAAAACTGTAGTTTACATCTTTCAATGCACTACTGCATGTAAATTAAATTACACACACTTATGACAAGCCTGATGAAATGAAGTGATTGCCTTTACTGCATATCATTTAATATTAAACACAAAGGAGAACCAAGAACACTAATTCCCAGAAAAAGCAAACTTTCTGTAGGCACCTTACTGCTTATACAAGCATAATGCACTAAAAATGAAACACGTACTTGTAACAATACTAATCTCAGCACCCTTTGCAAAGGGAAAAAACAAACCCTACACCTACAGCATATAGGTGTGTATATATGTGTATATACTGCCAGTAAATGTGGGCCTTCCATAACAGGATACAAAGAACCATGAACTCTCACAGAATCATACAGTGAAATGAGTAATTAATTAGTACAGAGTATTAGGAGGTACACAGAACCGTACATAATTATTTTGTGTCACGTGGTACAAAATCAGGGTACCTGCTCAATGCTGGCTCTGAGCTAACCCATCAGAAAGGGCAGAGGAAGGAAGTAGCCCATCACAGTGCTGTCTTGATTTTTGCAAGGGTTATTTCAATACAAATACTCCTTTTACTAGACAGGAATTATTTAAGAGTAATACAGGCTAAAAACTATGCTCCCAAACCACGATGGCTATTTAGTATTTATTTTTAACTTCAAAAGCAATTTAAAAGTGCCGTTTTCTCTTTACTATAGTGTCCTCGTTCATCTTTGCTTTGCTAACCAGATTGGTTGATAAAGACCTATTTCACATGGGACACGTGAAAAACTAGCTTTTCAATGTGCAAGAAGAAGTAACGTGCTGGGGTCTTGAGTAGGTGTTATTCACATGAACAGTAAGGAATACGATAGCTCAAAAGAATAAACATGTCAGGGTGGCGGGAGGGAAATGACACAGTATGTTTAGTTAAACAGCAAACAGCACCAGTTACATTTTGAGCTGTGGACTATAGGGCAAATTTCTAGTTTGCGGATCAAAGCAGATCACCTTAACATCCACAGAGATATGGCCCAAGTCTAAGCTATAAATATTTTAACACTCATTGCTATTTTACCTACTAGAGTCTTTGTATTGCAAGAGCCAGATAAATGAAAACCAGAAGCTAATTAGCAGATATTCGATAATTATTTTTTTAATCGGGATTTTCCAGAACTATTTTCCACCTTCATAGCCTTTTCCACCAAAGTGTAGTATCTTTACATACAAATTATTTACATACAAATTCACAAGAAATTCAGTCATACTCATTTTACCAAATGCAGGCACACGTGAGCCACAACCTAACAATGATATTAAATATAAGGCAGAGGCCGATCTTACAAAGCAGGAATCATACATACGGTATATTCCCACAAAGTAAACTGCTTGGTACTTAGAAGTATCTACCTTAAAGGGCCGAAAAAGAAGGTCAAAATAAATGTAAATTTTAAACCCATTGCTCCAAAAGAGAATGTATTTCACAGCTGATACTTTGAAGAGATTTACATGAGTGTTCACAAACTTTTCCTCTTAATTAAATCTATATCAACTTAATCTTACAGAGAAATACAGCAGGTAATGACAGTATTGCCCTGGTTGCATTATCCCAGTTGACTCCTACTGTTTTCTGTATTTAAACAAAGGAAATGCTTTAGAGTTTAAATACATTTAGATATTGCATAACCTTTTTAACTTAAAGCACTCTAAATGTAATAACATATTGCTTCCTATTTTTAACAATACATTGCTCATGTGGTTTTGACATACAGAGTGGATATCTAACTCATTACACATTATAATTACGTTCGAGAGAAATATGACAATGTAGAATATTTTTTTCTTTCCCACAAAACAACCTGACATACTCAAAATGCACACTCAAAAATACTATTTTACTATAGTAGAAGAAATGTAAGGAAAACTAGGAGACAACTTTCATTTTACATGAACAATTACTTTTTTCCACTAAAAAAAAACATCTAAATCCTTCAGCAAGTCTTTCTGTCATGTAAATAACATAAATTGTGATTCCACAACAAAAAGCACAGAAAAAATTTAATGCAGTGTGTTCAGAGACAGCTTATTCTCCATGACATTTTTACTAGTAGTAAGGTCTCGGGTCTAGCAAAACAAAAATACAGCTTCTGAAAAAGTAGTCAGCAAATAGGCTCAACAAGGGCTCTTTATTTTTATAAGAAACAAAATAATACAGGGGCTTCTTCCTTCCTCTAGCTTGAAGCATTATAACTTGTTTGCCCAAGTTCTTGGCATAATAGCCTGCTACAAATGAGACACAGAGGTCTTAATTTAGAACTGCGGCGCAGAAGTCACAAAACATTCACTCTTTTCAATTACTAACTAATCTAATGCTAAAAGCATGCAAATTGAGATCCCCAGCCATATGATGAAGCCTCACAGGACATGAGGTTCTGTAAGTAGGAGGGTAAAAGCATGCCCTTTTACTATAAATAATGATTAACTTGATAGTTGTTATGCTGCTAGTGAATACCAGAAGGTCACAACTTATTTGCTTATAGCTTGGGGAACAGAACATGAGCTCACAGGCTTAGGTACAGTAATCCTAATAATAAAGTTAGGAGAAACTGCCACAGAATAATTACAACTGCTATTATGCATAATGGAATAGAACATTCAATAATGTTTGCTGCTGAAACAAGTGTGCTTCGTCAGAGATCGCTGGTCTTGCTATAATCCTTAGTATTGAGCTGTTTGCAACAGAACTTGCATGTAAAGTTGCACATACCCTGTCATCTTCCATCTCACTTGAAAACAGTCCGTTGGATTTAATGAATTTACAAATTTATATATCCTTTTCCACATCAGTATCTATGAAGAGTTCGTAATACCAGACAAGGAATGAAACTCAATAGAAAAAAGCCATAAATGGGTATCAAGACATCCACATGATAACAAACATCTTAAAGTGCACATCTAGCATTACAAGAGGAGTCACAAAAAATTCACCACAGCCAATTAAGAAATCGTATTACCAGTTATTTGTGTCACTTACGTTCAATGTTGTAAACAGATTACAACTCACTTGAAACCCGCTATTAACAAAATGCTAGAGAAGCACAACAATCTAAAATCCTAAGCAGCAAAACCACCTCATGTGAGGACTCAAAAAACCCAGTAATTTTGGAAAGAAAAAAGAAGGTAGTGGAACAATTAAAAAATGTTAAAATTATAAACTGCAGCAGTTCACTGTTATTCCCTATAGGTTAGAGTTAATACTCATATACACTGAAGTCAGCACAAGTGAAAGAATTATGACAGGTGGCTGAAAGCACTGTAGAAACACAAAATCAGCTTGAGACAATGAAACGCATAAAGTGTGTCTTAATTGATCGGGAATAAATCAGAAAAATTGTATTTTCATTAGGATCTTTATTCAGCATGCTTGCCAGGGTGTCCAAAAATATTACCATCGTCCGTAACTATGAAGCAGCAGTAAGGCTGGTCCAAAACAAAAACCGAAAGCGGGGGGAGAGAGAGTGCACAACACAGAACGAGAGCAGGAGAGTGAGTGCGACACAGAAAGATTTATTCCTGGCTTCTTGTCAGAACTTTTAATTTCAGGCTCAGCAGGAGCCACAATGATGAGTACCCAAAGCCAGCTAGACATTTTAAAGGTCTATTACAAACAAATTCTTGGGAATCATACCATGGTATCTTCAAATTGAGACAATAAGATATCATTGGAAGCATGCAATTGATGGATATGTGACTACATGCTGACTGAACTTCACTATCCCTCATACCCATAGCTTTCATATACATTCAACATAGATCACTCTTCAGACAACACAGTAAACAGATGGAAATGCGATGACCAGTAGTCCTTCAAGCCACTCTGCAAGAGAGGGATATATTCCTTATAATTATGTCCCTGTCAGACTTAGTTAGGTGTCTAATAAATCTTGGCAAAGAAGTTAGTATCTTACTAAAAGCACTAGGAGGTCTGAAAAACACCCATATGCATAGAAGTTTAAAACAAACTTCTATCTCAGTGTTACAATCCAGGATAAAACCACAGAGAGAATTTTACAGACACTGTGATGTCAGTAAAATTAGAAATGTCATCTTTCAAGTTGCCCATACTTCAATCAACAGTGGAAAAGTTTAGTCAACAGAAACATCAAGGGAAGAGCTTAGATTTTAATCTCCCAGTGAATATATATTGCTTTCCCTAGTCACTACGAAGAACTCATATCCTTCTTTGTCAGGTTGAATAAATCTGAGCAAATAACTGTAGTGTTTTTCAAATCTTCCATGGATAAACCACAGTTAACTATATGCCCTTCAAATGAGTACAGAAGCTACACTCCAGAACAATATCAGAGCACTCCCTAACACATGAGACTGACTTCAAAGGAAACAGAAAACTGAACTCTTGACCTGAGGGGCTCAACAGAGTTGTGGAGTAGGGAAACCTGGAAAATTTCTTCCCAGCTCCCAAGGTAAAACTAAACAAACAGCAATGGATGTCAAACAGAACATTATGTCAGGGACAGAAAAGACAATGAAAGGCAATGTGGCATGCTAAGAAAAACCCAACCCCTCAGAAATTAAAAAAAACAAACAAACAAACAAAAAAAAAGGAACAACATAAAATTCAAGACGCATCTGCATCTTGAATGCTACATGTGGCTCTAAATCCCAATACAGGCAAAAACCAGGGAGATGGAAAATGAGGGAGTTGTATTTGTCTGATTTTGTACTTATCTAGATGCTATGTTATATATTTGAATTTCTCCTGTCTGAAGCTAGCAAAAAGAAAACAAAACTGGTTTTCCCAATTTCCCATTCCTCTCCTTTCTAGAGCAAATGTCTAGCTCTGCAACTGCAATACCTAAGATTCTCCTACCTTTGATTGGTCAGTAATGATATTCAGAATAACATTCATGAAAAGGACAAAGGTGTCTTATGTTATACCTAACTTCTGGTCCTGGATTGTAGAATTACTGGAGAACAAAGATTTTGCTTTGGTCCCTGTTCTTGAGGTGAGAGCTGCGTTTTAGACCAGCTAAGGTTACTTGACAGAAGTTAAACACCAGATTACAGACTGCCACAAAAGGCACAATGCCATCTTGTTATTTCCTCCTCCTCACTCCATGCTTTTCTATAGCATTAAACACAAATCAGCCAAGCCCAGGTTCTAGCCCAAGTTTTGTTTCCGTGAACGCTGTACAATTCAAATCCCATCAGCTGGTCTTGATTGCTGTGAAACCTCTCTTTGAGGTTCTGAGCTTACTTAGATAATCAGAAAATAGGGCTGAGCATCTGAGAATCAAATCCTTAGTCTCTGCTACTTGGAATGTTGCAACATGGGAACAAAACAAATTATAGTTATCAGTGGTGATGCACAACAATATGCAGTGCACTTGACTCAAAATGCAAAGTAACAACACAAAATTGGCTAACTTTTCAAGTACCAATAACAGTGGAAACAAAGTAGCTGTTCATTATCATAAGTATTTATTTATCTTCTAAATGTTACACAGCATACTTATATTTATTTACTTGCACTAAACATTTGGTCTAACTGAAGTAAAACCAGTGAACTGATACTTATGTCCTGATAAGCATAGATATTAATATTAGGTTCAGGTCATTTTCAGTATTCTACTGAAATGGTGTCATATTTCCACCACATGAAAAAACTTCTTTACAGTTCGGGTGACAGAGCACTGGCACAGGCTGCCCGGGGAGGTTGTGGAGTCTCCTTCTCTGGAGATTTTCAAAACCCACCTGGATGCAGTCCTGAGTAATGTGCTCTAGGCAATCCTGCTATAGCAGGGGAGTTGGACTAGGTGATCTCTAGAGGTCCCTTCCAACTCTGAAAATTCTGTGATTCTGTGATATTTGTTCATCAGTAACAGCAAGTATAGCAAGAACCAGTTTTGCCATACAATTGCTATAATACAGATACTAAAAATTCATAAAGACTCTTTGTGAGTTATCATTTCAATCCCAAGAGCCAAAAGGTAGTGCTCAAAAAAGAAATCTTTCTTTCTAAATGACTAGGAAGATATTAAAAAAAATCACTTTGTCACTACTTATCTATGTATTTTCCTTTTACTAAGACAGAATTTTGGCAAATTTTGTTCTCAAAAGCTTTTATTTTCACATCATAAAGGGATTTGTTTAACAAAGTTGAAATTAAACTATTCCATACTACAAAGTGGTCATTTAACACCAATTGAGAAAAAAGATTTTTCTTCCACCTTGCCATTGTCAGTGGACAGTCACTTTTTAATTTCTTGACACACCAAAGATATTTCCAGCAATACCTGCATTGATGCTCCTTCCACCCTTGCTACACAGGCAACTCTATCCAGGAAAGTCACGGTTACCGGAACAGCAACAAAGAAACCTTTAAAAAAGGCTTTAAGGTATCTCTTTCCCAAACCTTGAACCTGTGCCATAATCTGAAAAATACGAAGAACATGGAAAAAAAAGCTGTTATAAAACCAATTTTAAGTAGCAACAACATTGTAGCGATGCAAAAAGGAGGAGCTAGAAATAAATTAATTATATTATCTGTTAGGAACTCCCAATATCCAGTGAAAAAAAAATGGAATGTGCACATGAGAATGAAAAAGAACAGAAATATTCATCAGCATTTAAGTCTACTCTACAGAAGAGAGCCTGATACTTCACATTCATCCTTTAGCTAATTTGACCACTCCTGTGATCCTCTGCTAGCAGAAATACTTGATAAAAATGACCTAATGATAACAATTCAGCTAAGCAAGAAGCAAACTGATATAACCATACGAAATCTAATTCAGCATTTCTGAAAAAGACCAAAACGAAACAAAAAAACCCAAACAAACAAACCACCCCCCGAACACAAAACAAATAAGCAATTAAATTGAAATAACCAATTACAGAGCATTCAATTTCAAGTTTACAACCAAAATTCTGTAAATAATTTTCTCTCCATACATTGGTAATTATTAATTTGTGACCCCCAAAGATGGGCTGTGCTACATAAAGGAAAAGCTGACAATTTGCAACACACTACCATTTCTTTATGAGATATTTTCACATATAAAAGTGCACAAATGCACGCTTGTGGTAACTGCAAGTACATAAAATCAATTCAAATTGTCACGTATGTCACAGGGACACATAGTAACACAATGATCACACACAATTCACTACCACATCAGAAAGTCAAAAGCATATTGGCAGACTGAGCAGCTAAGTAATGACATGTGGGACTACTCCACTCCAACTCACCAGCTATTATGCTATCTCCCATCTATTTATTTAGCCCCAGACCACTAAAGATTCTTGAAAAATACCTACAAAGCACACTGAAACACAAAAGTTGTTCGATCGAATTACTGAGACTCCTGAAAAGCAAGCTGAGTACCCTGGTACTGCTGAAAAGGTACAAGACTATTTTACATAACTGCAGTTTCATCATAAAAAGTGCTGCCCTTCACCTATTGGCAAATCCAATTTAAGCTGTTGTTTCCACCTGATGAATCCCTGGTAGACCCCGCACAAGATCAGTTTGTGGAGTCCCTGCTCTCTCTTTTACATCTGAACTCCAATAGAGAGTAATAGAAGGAGAAAACATACTGCGCCCTGAACTTTCGAGTCTTTCAGTGTGATTATATTCACAAATACAGAATTATTTTTCAACAAAACAAAATGGAAAAGACAAGTACCTGCAGTTTGGTTCAATCACCTTAGGAATCCAGAATTTCACAATATAATCATTTTTTCTTTGTTGCATTTTCAGAAATATGGAAGCGATGAACTATTTGTATGCAAAATACAAGTTCAAATAACTCTGATGAAATAGTAATGAAAGCACTATTTCTGTCACACGTATGGCTACTTAATTCCATAAAGCCCCTTACACTTAAGAGAGGGCACCCAGTTCTATAAAGTAAGCTATCAGCATATTCTCCACTAAAATTCTTTACAGATATTAATAGCTTTGCAAGGACAAGATGTGTCTTCTAAAAGACAGGAACACCCTTACTATTACTTCTGACATTCACTTTCACAAGGTTTTAAATCTCTTTTATAATTTTAAGTGGAAAACCTCACCATCATCTGTAACTCCTGCTCATAACACAAATTTAACTAGTAAAATATCTAAACGTACTTAATGCTTGTAATTTGATTATATTTTCTTTCTGCACATTTCATGAAAACATTTTCAATTTGCATCAACAGCTTTCATAAAGAATCTGAAATAGGTTGTGAAATAGAACAAAAACCGCATCAATTCAAGACAAATGTTAAAATGCTTTACTTTCAGCTTATTGTTTAAGAACCTTATTGGAACCAATCCACCAAGACACTATTGCCTCAACCAGCACAGATTTACCTTTTATTCCACATGAATATGGAATCTCTAAAAATCAGGTACTTGTCTACCATTTAACAAACTGTAGCATTTTATACACCTTAACACCCTTCCCTCAACCCACTGATTGTGACCTTCTCCTCTCAAGTTTTCTGGCTGGAATTCTACTCCTTTGCTATGAGGTCTAGCATATCTCAGACCTCCTCCAGTCTAACAGCAATGTCAGCCTCAAAACACAATTTCGAGACCTTGCCCACAAATGTATCGACCATGTTCTATGTACAGTCAATCTTTGAGCTGAAAGACATTGCCTGACAGATGCATCACAATATGATGGATTTATGAGTATTTTTTAAAAAACTTTGAGAAATTAGACAAATTTACTTACCCTTTAAACTCCTCATAGCCAAACTTATTTTTCATTAATAGTGAAGCATGATTGTTGACCCCCATTCCTTCTACTAAAATCATTCACAGGTTTTGTTGTGAACTTTTTGCAAAAGACCCATGCTAGTATCTACAGAAAAGTCTAGCATCTGAAGAAAAGTAATTGGTCAGGCAATGAACTGGAGACCAACCATATGCTCTTCGAACTACAAGCTAATTAATAGTGACATACAATCTAGCAGCCAGGTTAAAACAGTTCAGACAAAATTCTACATTCTCAGTACACCACTTCACCAAGGAAACACCGGGAACATTAAGTGGCTGTGGACAAAGCCACTGTGGACAAAGTTCAGGTCCTACTTTTGTGGTTTTGAACACATGCGGTATTACAATGCACAGCATGAATAAAGATGAGGGAAAAAACATGAACAGCACCCCCATAAGAAAGTGATTTACAAAGCAACCAAAAGCTGTTGCGCTGAAAGACTACTCTACTTGTCCTGAATTTTCCTTCCTTCCTTCCTTCCTTCTTTCCTTCCTCCCTTCCTTCTTTCCTTCCTCTCCCCCTCCCTCCCTCCCTCTACTAGGCAACTGATCAAACCACTGGTTTTATCTTCCATCCACACCAAGATAAATCCTTCCCTTCCAATCACATGCTACATTCTCAAATTTTCCTGGTTCCCCACCTCCCACAGTAAAGGACAGCTTTTCCCCAGGACACCAACTGGGCAGGCCTGTAGATTACTCTACTGTGGAAGCCCTTCTTCCCAAAAGATAGGAAACATATGCATGCACATTTTAAACAGTTTGAGAAAAACTACTTAAAAGCAAATTCATCTTTAACCTTAAGTCCTTTCATATAACAAAACATTTTTAACATAAGAGTAAGCAGTTACTACATGTGTCTCATTGAACACTGTGCAATTTTTGCCAGGTCTATTTCATAAGGTTTCCCCTCCAAAAAAACACAGACAAGCCTTTACCATAGGGTAAGTATATGCACATGCAGAGTTGCCATGATTCAACTGGCAGTAAAGGGAAGGTTACCCATCCCTCTTTCAGTAAGAGGGGCTTCAAGTTGTCTTGCACTGCCACAGGGGGAGAGCTTGAATGCAGGCAGCAGAAAGAGAGTTCTCAGATTATCTTCTACCAGTAACTGCGCATGTGAATGGATAAACCTCAGCGGATCAATACTGTTTGATGAAAATGTTCACTGTTTTCCTTTCTTATACTTAGGTGGTCTTGGGAGAAAAGAACGGGGAAAAGTAATGATGAGCATTTACTGCAGTTGCAAGAAAGAATTTCTGGTAGTAAAGTGTAGACACAACAATCCTTACAATTAAAAAAAAACCCCAAAAACAAACAAATAATTTTCTGGTTGGAGTATTTCTTTAAAAATAAAGAAAACAGTAGATAGCTATCACTCCCGGAGATAATATTCTGCTCTTACACATTATATTTTACAACCTCAATGCACTCTAATTAACTATTTTCTCAGGAAACATTCAATTTAAGAAAATTTGTGAAAATTACTGAAGGATAGCCATAAGTTTTGTCATAACTTTTCTAATATTTCAATTTGATATATTTTTCTCTATATTATAGAGAAAATTTGTATTTGTTATACAGAATTATTCTAGTTTTCATTATAGAGATATATATATTATTTTATATTTACATTTTTCTATATCCAATCAATGAATGAGTTCATTAAAAAATGCAAAATCTCACATATGCCTGCCATATATATATACGCAAATTTTGATTCCCATGTTCCAAGTGAATTACAAATTTTAGTGAATTTACAAATTTAAAATTAAGTATTTCCAATTCTCTCATCTACTTTAATTTTAGAATCTGAGGTTACAAAGTTACTTCCAATGCTCCTTTAACTTACAGTTTACTTATTTTTTAAAGAAGAATACCCTCCAGAACGGATAGCCAACTTTTTAACAGCTTTAAATCCAATTATATAGAAACTAAAGAAGCGTTGGACAGTAACAGCCAACAAAAATGTTAAGGACAAGAAGCTGATTATTTCATAGGTATATAATGATACGCACATAAGTTTGAAAGACATAATTTCCTAATATACAAGCAATAAAAGATGGTAATTGTATATACTACTTTAAAATTGTAAATTCATCCAAGTAATAAATCAGTAAGTAACAGCTGGTTCAAGTGCTTTCTAAAAATGAGATCTCTGTGAAGTATCAATGTTCAATGATACTGAGTGGAACTCTCTGGTATATAAAATTTAAAAGATTTCTAAAGTATTTGTAGATTTTAAGAGCATCACATTTCCAGAGTAAAATTCTGAAATCCATAGTTGTGCCAGTTTTATCTTGACAGTTAAATATACAGCAGGTTTAAATGTATGTCATTGGAGCAAGCAAAGAATCTTTGCTGAAAAAAACAATTTCACCACCACATATTTCTGGATGTCTGCCCAGTCAGTGACACCTTGAATAAAATCAACAAATCACAACACTTAAAAGATGGCACAACAAAATCAAACACATAAAACATAGTAAAAATAATTTAGAGATGCATACACTTATAAGCATTTATAAATTATCCTTGGTTTAGGAAAAAAAAAAAAAAACGCAACAAACCACAGAACAATTCAGTAGAACTGACAAGCTTCAAAGCAACAACCTTGAAAACTTGTTTGAAATGGCAACATGGACAAGAAAAATCCAAGATCA